TACAGAAGGTGAAGCATGTATTTTTGCAACAGGCTGCTTTTCAGTGACAGAAACATCCTTTCAGTATATCAACTATCCATAGAAAGCTAATCCATGTCGAAGAGCGACGAAGTCGGAAGTGGCCGGCCAGACGCTCATTTTAGTTAAAAACGAAATAATTAAGTTTTTTTTTTATTTTCGAGAGTGCGAAAAATCCCTTTTTCTAATCGTTTGAAAGTATTCTATCTTCATGTAGAATAACCAAGCAATCAGGAAAACAAGAATGGCTTCGCAGATGAGCGGTTGTGGTTGGGCATAGAGTAGAGTCGACGCTGTTTCAACACTTAGAAAACCCGTTTTCAGACCAGACCAGACCAAATCCATACCCGTTTTCAGACCTGATCTTTAGGCAGAAATTTTGTCATCATCTCTTAAATTAGAGCGCAAACAAAAGAAATTCTTCAAATCCATTTCGAGTTCGCGTATTTCGCTTTTTTTCTTACTGATTTTCAGAGAACGTATAGCACTTAAAGAACCCAGATCTAACACAGAAATAGTAATCAAAAAGGCAGACAAGGGCACCACAATGGTCATAATGAACAAAAATGATAACATACTAGAAGGCCAAGTTCAGCTTGAAGCCAGGCAAAACTACACGCCCCTCGAAGCATAAAACTTATTAAGCCAAAATACATGTTCCCAAAAAAAAGCTAGTCTACTGACAGTGCCCCACTCACCTAAGTTTTCTATGAAAGCTTTCTTACAAATCAAGTAGTTTTCTTCTTCTATAGTTGTCTTCAACCTGACATTGTCCACCCCGAGCTTTCTCTTGATTTCATCAGTCACCAGGAACCTTTCAACGATGTCATTAAGGTAACCAGAACAGTAATCATTCCACAGACTTTCAAGACTCTCCAGAGTGAGGCACTGTACAGTTATTATCAAAGATCCTGATTTTACCATCATTACGGCCACTTCATAAGCCTTTTTGAGAAACTCAGTAAGGCGGGCTACACTACTATCAACTGGCAAAGATGAAAGATCTTGGTGTCTTCGATACTTATGAACCAACTGTTCTAATTCCTCTTTTAATATTCTTTGTTGTGCAACAGTTAAATCTTGGGTATTCAAAGAAATTAGAACTTCGATCAAGGCAGTAATAACAACAGAGTCTGAAAATCAATAAGAGGAAAGTTACACGTTTTTAAAACTATAGCAAAACATTCAGTATGCACAATAACTTAACCCTTATTTATTTACTTATTTCCCTACTTGCACAAATTTACGTTTTAATATAATTTTTACTATTACGTGACAGGTTCCTTCCTCAGGGAAGATGCACCTTCATGACTAGCTATCTTGGAGGACATATGCTTCTTTAAAAAAAGATTCCACTCTCCTCACTTGAAGTACCTGAATTTAAAAGACGGCTCTCGTCAAGGTACTCATCATTATTGAATGTCTACTCAGGCACCTCACCCATAGCCAAAGAGGTTTAAAAACCTCATTCACAAAGACCCCCAACAAGGCAACTTGGTTAGGACGTTATCACAGATTCACAATATTAGCTGCATACTTGAATGTCAATAGAATGTTAACGTTTATAGCAATTCGATGAAAGATACAATTTGGAAAATTACAAAACCTGTTCCCACATATTGTTGAAAATATTTGTCACTAACTAAGATATTTTAAATGGGATAATGGAGACAGGACTAAAACCACATTACGAGATCGCTCTTTTGCTGTTGCTGCTCCCAAACTTTGGCATTTGTTTTTTTTTTTCGCGATATGGAGAAGCCCCTCGGTTGTCATTTTTAAGAAGGCACTCAAGACATTTCATTCCAGAAAGCCCTTACAATGTATGTAATAAGATGCAATTTCATTACTCGTTTTTAGTAGATTTTATTCAGTTTCAGTTAAAGTAACCAAAGTAATTTTTATAATTTTAGTGCTTGATATATTTTAATTTTTGTATATTTATAAATTTATTTATTTATCATTTATTCAAAATCTTTTTTTATAACCGCTGAAGAAAATGGCGTCTGTCAAGCGACTACTGATCGATCGGCACTATAAGTTTTACTATCATCAATAACACACTTCTATATTACGAGCGTAAACGGTAACAAGTCCTGTAGGTAAAATAATCTAACAAACGCTTCTCCCTTTAGATATAGTAGTGTACTGATGAGCAATAGCAAGAAAAACAACTCATGTTTTTGCATACCTGGATTACAAGAGAATCCTGACATTTTAAGCTCACGGCTACTTTGAGACTGAGAGTCTGTATCCGTGGATATCTTAGTTTGATATCCTGATGCAGCATCAGCTTTCGTTTCACAGTCACTACTAAGGGACATTTCAGAAACAAGCTGCTTGCCGTCGTAAGAGTTTCTTCTTTGGTTGTTGTAAATTTCTATAGAAGGCTCTGAAAAAAAAAAGCTTTAGTTACAATAATAATCTCTCTGAAACTTAAGGTTCAGTCAATTTCACGTGTGACCATTCGTCCCCGGGGCGGACATTTGTTGGGCATATATCACGTTGTGTATTCCTGGGATAGAAACTCAGCGGCCGGCGTTTTATTTCTCTCCCCGTCCCTATTTTTTCTACCTCTCGTGCGCCTCCTGCGCTTCTCTCACTTGGTTAAGAATAGACATAAATGATTTCTAGGCATGATGTCTACGAAGATACCTTCATGGTCCTCAGTCATGCCCTCCATCCTCTGAGAAACGTTGCACTTTGTTTCCAAGGAGCTTCGGGCCTTTAGAGAATCTTCTGTTGCAACAAAATGGAGAAAACAAGCTGCGGGAATTATGTGTATATATATAAATACAATCAAATATGTGAAGTGCTGTAAATAAGTACTATGACCGTCTATGACAGTCTCAAAATAGCCTCCACAGACCATTCCGCTGAAAACAATGTACCTGAAGAAATAGACACGTTTTGCTGTTAACAGAGCATAACGTTCAGATAGGTATTCGCAAATATTTTTATCAAGACTTAAGGGCAATACTTGCAAGCGATCCCATTTTTGTTTCTTTTCCCTTTTTAGTCGAGCTTGCTTTAGCTGCGAGACTCTAAAAATGCACGCGTTTTTTTTTTTGTTGTTCATGTGTTCTCGCCAAATGGTGAATCATGGTCTCAGGCGTTGGTCAGAAGTGAGCCCCGAAACGCTAGGAGTATCTAGTCTCTTCATGAACTGGACATAGCTCTTCTGAGAATACAGAAGATGAAGCATGTATTTTTGCAACAGGCTGCTTTTCAGTGACAGAAACATCCTTTCAGTATATCAGAAGCATCTGGTTTGAGAACAAGCCTTTAACTATAAGCTTCTTACAAAATAATGTTTATATGTTTTTGGAACCCATTCACATCTCCCCCACCCATAACCACCCATGTGGAACCACGCCCCATGCATGTAACACTAAAAATAAATTTTGACGGTCACAGACAACTGTGACCCTTAAATGTGGTGGAGACCCTTAATCTACGCATTACAGATCTTTTCACGCATTTAAATTCACTTTGACAACCTCCAATACAATTTTAAAAGGTGTGTACAAAACATTTAAGCTTCATTATTATAAAGAAAAGCAAGCATCTCAAAATTTCAAGTAGCCCATTTTATTTTTGCATGTTTGTCACTGCCCAACACAAAACTGACTGTCTTTGTATGTTGTCCTTCAGTAGCAGTTTAAAAATAACAACACTGAAATTCAAGTGTGGCTCTACACGTAAAAGAATTGAAGGTGATTTCTTAGGAAAGTAACTTATTAGGATTGTAAAGAAGTATATTATTGTCTTGGCCATATTTATCCAGCAATAAATTTAGTGGTCAAATATTCTGGGTCAACTCGTACATGTACTAAATTTGCAAAGAGAACTTATGGTACTCAAAAATGTGGTCCAAGAACTACATGTATTCAGTGCTTGTGAAAGACTATCGCTGCAACCTTACATTTGCGTACACTGTGCCACGAAAACTACATTAGTGTAATGTCTGGCACAACATAATCAATTAAGCACATCAGCTTAACAATTAACTCTTACCATGACTCATTTTCCACATTCTGTTCACGAAGGCTTCACATTGCTCCTTCCAACTGTACATCTCCTCATAAAATGCTCTCAGCGATTTTATCTCTTGAAGCCTCATTCCATGCCTGATACGAACAGCTTCAATTGCTTTTGCCCATTCTGCAGGATCATCCGAATTCACGATGCATGCATTACCATGAAGAACATTCTCTAATGCTTTGGCAAATCCCGATTTACTACCAACAAGAATTGGTAAACCTGCAGACAAGGCTTCAAGTGCGACAAGACCAAATCCCTCTGATTTTGATGGCATGATGGCAAGGTCAGCTTCACACAACAAATCTTTCAGTTTCTCTCTACTTTGTAAAAATTTTCTAACAGTCAACTGTGCTTCTGCAATTTCACATTGAAGAAGTTTTTCTCTAACTTTTTCTTGCTTTCCTTTAGGTGCTCCGACAAAAATTAGATGGTAAGGTTTGTTTTTTAACCGCCGATCAGTGAATGCTTGAGCAGCAATGTTGTATCCCTTGAGTTCAAAGTCCTCATCATCCCCACGACCAAACAGCAGTACTTTAAACTCAGCATGCTCATTACGGGTTTGTATTAAATCCCCAAACTCCCTTTGAAAAAGGCCTGGAGTAATGGACAAAACATCTTGACCTGTCTTATATCGCTGTAAATATGAAGTGTAGGCTTCTTTCAGTCTGGGTCCCACAGGGACAACAAGATCAGCAAGTTTGCAAAGTTCAACTTCTGATTCGTGTTTTGTTTCACCTTTTGAAATGGGGTCACTGTAGCATTTGTACCTGCTAAGGTCCTCTGGTGCAGTGTGCACCACTTGAACCCACTTACAATTTGGAAATCGAGCAGAGTCTCTAATGAATTGTACTTGTCGACCAAGCTTTACACCATGGCCAACAACGATGTCCATAACATGATCTTTGGGTGGTGAGCTTAGCCAATCAAGACGATCAAATGCTGCACGTTCTTTCGCCTCAACAATGGTGATTCCATAGCCATCTGCTTCTCTTATTTCTTCAGTGTTGCAAGCTCCCTCTGGGACTAGTAAAGAAACCTGCACTGCTGAATGATTTGAAAGGTGAATAGCAAGCTCCCTGTTTATTGTTGACAACCCACCAGCAGATGAACCCCACTCACCACCAAGAAGAGTAACATGTAACACTGGATCACTGCTCTCAGAATAGCAAGCCTACAAAAACAATAACATCAACAGTGAATAGTTAGGAGATACAAGACCAAAAGACATAGCAGGTTTAGTAACTGCCAACTGTTAGTACATACATAATTTGTAAACTAAGTTGATAGGGGTAGAATAGGCAAATTTTCTAATCACTCCAATTCCCCAACATAGTAGCACATATTACAGTGTCTTTAGAAACCAACCCCTTCTATCCGGCAGATAGGAATTAATCAGGCATATGCACAATTATTAATCAAACAAACAAATGCCCCAAATGTAGTGTCCACTCCACTCCTTATTTTCACCACTCCCATTCACCAAAAGGGCATGATCACACCATTGCATGTGGTTTTCTGTTTTCTAGATGAAAGCAGTTTTTACACAGCATCTGGCAACTTTTAATGTTTCTCTTTGGGACACATCACCAAATAATCATAAAGTTCTCTTCAAAGGCCATGAAATGACACTGTATATAGTGTAATAGGAAAAAATATAGCTTTTTGTAAAAAGAATTAAGAAAAAAGAATGAACCTTTGGATTGTTCAGACTGCATTCTGCTTTCATAGTCTCAGGTTGACTGGATGAGGCAGCCATTGCTGATGAAAGGGAAAAATAAGAAATTAAAATGACTGTCCTAGTAGTACCAATTAGTCCTAATACTTGATGTAGGTGTGACTTTAATCACAATGTCAACCAATTTTTTTAATTCTGAACATTCAATGTTTAGCAGAATCTGGTTATCATTGCTTTCACAGTACAATCACACTGCTGGCCACACATTATCAGAAAACATGTGGCGCTCTGCTGTCAGTGCTGTAATTAAGTAGAAGTTGTTTTATCTTTTAATAATAAATTATAACTGTATAAGAGCATTATCGAAATATTTTGGGATGAAGTTTTTATTGTTAGAAATACGGTAAAAAAGGAAAATCTTGATGTTTATAGTCATTATCTGAAGAAAATGAAGCGCTTATGACATGTAATTTCACCTCATAGTAGTTTCAGTCTCTTTAAAAACGTGTGTGAAAGATCATGGAGATAGCTCTGGCCAATTGCTATAAAGAAGTAAGATGACGCTCTTTTTAGGGGCTTTGTAAACATTTCGGTCTACTTTTTTTAAAACAAATTAGTGAATAATTTTTAAACCGCTCGATAGATTTTTTGTAAAAAATTAAGATTCTTTCGTAATTCAAACTGCGAATTAGTCTGCAGCCACTTCTTCACTTTCAGACCTATTGCTGATGCTATCTGCCATACACTCTTCTAGGAGCGGAGGTGATTCTAGAAAGTTATGCGGAAGCTTATTCTAATCAATTCACTACTAGAAACAGGGTTCGCACCCTTTTTTGAACAAAAACTTCAAGGACTTTTCAAGGACTTTCAAGGACACATTTCGCATTTTTCAAGGACTCCATTCAGTGCAAAAAAGAGATTTGAGTCTATGTCTTTTTTAGTTCTACCACAACATGAGCAATTTTAGCCTGAAGGTCTTTCATATTAGGTACTTGAGAATCTGGGTTGGATAAAGTTAGCACCGAAATTCAAGGACTTTCCAGCACCGACTACAATTTTCAAGGACTTTCAAGGCCTTGAACTTTTTATTTCAAATTTCAACGACTTTCAAGGACTTTCAAGGTGCGTGCGAACCCCGTAGAAATGGGCCTTTCCAGCTAGTGCAGTGCAGTACAGTGACCAGCAATAAAAAAAGTCAGCATATGATACCATTCCCTTATAACCAGAAACTCATCACGTGCTAGGCAACCACTGACTTCACGATAAAATAGGAAATATTTATCTCTTTAAAATAATAATAATAAAAAACATGGAAACGTCTTTAAAAACTGGCTTTGCCCAAATTTTCTCTTACTGCCCAAAAGCTCTGAGTTGCTCAAACTTTGGGGGGGCTGCAGCCCCCTCGCTGCAGAGCAGACCAAGTCACACGGAAGCAATTCAATTCAATTCAATTTTTATTCACACTTTAATAAAATATTTACATTATATATAGTAAGGTAGGAATACACTAATAAAGGAGAAGAAGGAAAAAAGAAAATTAATGGCTTGGATAGAAGTGTACAGTGGTCAGAGGAGCTTAGCTTTCGAGCTAACCACCACTATATTATGAGTGGAAATACGTAATAAATGTGCTCTTGGTGCCATGGCAACTATGGACGATTATGTCAGCAGTCATTTTATGTGAACATTGTTATCTATGAGAGTTAACTAGAATTCGCTTGTATTCTTTTTTGAACTTATGGTAGCTAAGTGTTTTTATCTTAGTAGGAATCTCTTCCCAAGTTTTGGTTATGGCAATTAAACTTAAATGTGTGTTTGTGTGATTTTGTGAGCTAGCAAAGAGATTTTGAGTTTAAAAATGCTTATATCTATGTTAAGTATATCTAGAAGTTTGAGGTAGGGTGTACTACTTGTTCTGTTATGGCTAAAAAATATGAAGCGTATACATTTATTACTTCGGCGGAGCACGAAGTAAAGGATTCGCAACGCTCAGGAATGTATCAAAGTTGACTTTTTTTGACAACATTGGCCACGCAAAGTCTGAAGGTTTTCGGTTTTATTCGGCTATTTGATGAAGTGAGAGCCGAATTAGTACGAGATATCTCGAGATCACTTCGATTTCTTTGATTTATTCTTTAACTTTTTTGAGGAAGAAAGAATTAATATTGTGGCTTTCCCGGGGTTTGAACCGACTCACCTGTGTGACCCGTCAGATCAGAGGAGACTCTAAGTTGAGGGATTAGCCAATTATGCTACTGCGACCCAAGATAGTTCGGGATATGAAAAATAGTTATGAAATGATACAATAATTTTGGGACAAGATTGGGCGTGCAAGTGCGTGACTTTTTGTCTTGTTTTGGCTATTTCACGAAATGAGACCGGACTAATTCGTGATATCTTGAGATCACTTCGAGTTTTAGTCTTTAATTTACTCGAGGAATAAATAGAGGATATTACGTGGCGGCACAGAGACACGAAATTTCTCTTCAAGTGTTGAAAAACATTTCACGAGTGAGCCCTCCTTTCAAACTGTTTTATGATGAATTTTAAGTTACAAAATGCTGCACAAAGACATTTTGTCTTTGTTGAGTGATACGTAGTAAAATTGCTTTCATGCATTGCCTGACTTTCTCGAACGTTCTCTACGTTTTTGGATTATTCATGAATAATTAATTAGGGCATGTTTACATTTCAGCATGAGTGAGCGGATTTGCATCAGTTACTGAAATCATAAGATATGTCGAAAAGCTTCTACTATTCGCCTGTTTAGTATTTTCTAAAACCTTATGTCAAACGGTATACAAGTTCCAAGCAAGTTCTTTTGACTAAGTTTTTTCCCCACGAGCTGGACTGCTGTGTTTAGTCAAGTGTGACGAAGGTCGATTTTCAAGTTCTGTGTTTACAAGTTGGCGGAAGCCGCAAGATATCTGAAGGTCAAGTGAGAGTTTGTTATTATTGGTAGAGGCTGTTTAGTTTTACTTAAGTTCAAGTCAAGTTTGTGTTGGCGGATGCTGTGTCTTAAAGCTCTGTAAAGGCTATGTTCCTTTGGTATTAAACTTCCTTATGTTAATCCGACATCCTTGCGTGCTGAAAGTCTGAATAATTACCCTCAAAACATTCGAACTCGTAGCATTGAGTTTTAGCCAATTCCATGCTCAACGTAATTGACTCCTTACCCATGCCTTACATATCTTTAATCAGTACATGAGACTGCTATGCTGTTTTTGAAGCCTGATGTGACTAAGAAAAATAGAGAATTCTTTTTTTACTGTTTGTTTTGTTAGACTTGTTATTCCCCGCCAGTAACCTCATATTTGACCTAGGTCTAAACGTTTTGACCCAAGTCAAATTTAGAAGGATTTGTATGGAGTCATCAGAGCATAACTGGGCTCATATCTAAAAGACAATTTGTTGCGAAATTCTAGTTTTTGGCAAGTAGGCCTCTTGGATGTTGCTATTTTCAGAATATCCTGACAAATCCCATAATTTCACAAATTAACACCTTACTCTTACCAAAATATTTCATTTCTTACTATTCCTCCGCATTTACAATTAATCAGTTCCACAACCACGACGCCGAAGTGTATGCTCCGTAGTGTCTTGTTTTGTTTGAACTTTAGTTGATCTACTTGGGTATGTGTTTCCCCAACTCATAATTCCATAATGAAGGAAGGGGTAGATAAGTGAGTAACATATTTGTTTGGGGGTGTTTAAAGTTAAGAAATGGCGTAACCTGAAAAGGATTCCCAAGTTTTTAGATATTTTGCTGTTTATGTGCTGAATGTGGGTAGCCCAATTTAGATTTTTGTCAATGTACATACCTAGGTATTTGATGTAGTTTTTTTCTTCAATATTGCATAAATTAAGCTTAAGTTTATTTGCTTTTTTGGGGGGGGGAGGAGATTGTCATATAGTGGGTTTTCTTAAAGTTTACAGAAAGTTTATTAGGTGAGCAGTAGCTAAGAAGATGGTTGAATTCCTCATTTATAGTTTTTTCAAGGTCCTGTAGAGAATTGGAAGAGTAGAATAGAGTGGTGTCATCAGCAAATGTTCTAATATTTGCCTTTTCTAAACAACTCGGTATGTCATTGATATATATCAAAAACAGAAGTGGGCCAAGGGTAGAACCTTGTGGTACACCACATTGGATAGAAAGTGGGTTTGATTTAACATTTTCAACTTAAACATACTGTGTTCTGCTTTCAAGATAGCTTTTAAACCACTGGAGAGGGACACCACAGATCCCGTATCTGTACAATTTCTGTAGCAGGATCTGATGGTTGACAGTATCAAAGGCTTTACATAGGTCAAGAAAGATACTGCATATAGCTTCATTGCTGTCAATTTTCATTTTAAGACTGTCAGTGAGTTCAAGAATTGCTTGCTCAGTGGAATAATTTTTCCTGAAGCCAAATTGGTGTTTACATATCAAACTCATTGCGACATTTGCCCTATGTCACATCAGGTGGCCTCAACTTCCGGTAAAATAGAGCTGAAAACACGCTATTTTCTGCAGAATATTGCCTTTCTTTCTCAAAGTAGGAGATGTATCACAAATGCACCACCGGTATTGAGCTAAGTGCTATCTAAGCTACTAGTGGTGAAAAACTTGGGTTATTACTGGGCTGCCTGTGCGGCCCGGTCATAAAATGGGCTTTCGGTCGTTGGTGTCAAAAAGTGGTCTCCCGGGGGAGGGAAGACACGAGGGTCTGGTATCGAGAAACGATGTTTTCACAAATGGTTTCATTTGAGTTTCTCTTGCACGGAGCCTTGCACTGATACTTTTTGTACCTTGTCTGTGCTCCCCCTGAAAAACCCACAAGGCGTTACGAACCTGAAGAAGGCTATTTGCGTTGTTCAAAGCAATTCGATCATGGGAGTCACTCTATAATTTTTTTATTGTTCGAGTTTAAGTCAGTTAGATGATGTTGGCGCTGGGAAACTCAGAGAAATGCTCGCGTTGCATTCAAACCGACACGCCGTTCACGGTAGGTTCATACTAAAAGACTGAAAAGATGACTGTGAGCATCAGGTTTGGAACGCCGTGGCCGCTTCGTGAACTATCGATCGATGTAGTACATGAGCAATTAAGAAGCACAATTTATGAGCAAAGTATTTCACAAGTTGACGACACTATGGCTGAAGACTTGATTGTAAGCCGTCATAGTCAGTGAAGTGAACAACTCAGTTGCCGATGAATGGCAGATGAAATCCTGATGTGACGCACGTCCGTGAGCGAGGGACGTGACAACTTTGCCATGTTAGAAGACTGGCTTTTCCTTTAAATATTTCCTTCTATTTAATGCAACACACGCCACTTTGGAGGTCTAAATTTCGGATACTGAGGATAAAGAAGACACGGACAAAAATAGGAACTCTGAGAATTTCGAACACAAGTTTAAAGCTTCTCCGGGACATCCCATCCGGGAGCTTCACAGAGAGCGACTTGAGGAAAATAGGAGCTATTACTGACAAGGTTTGGTGACTGAGTAGAGCATACAAGCGTAGCCCACGTCGAGGTTTCAGGGGGTTTGCTTTTGTTTGTATCTGTATCTTGCTAGAAGGACAACAATTTTTGGAATTTCCGGTTACGTCAAATTAGTCACGTTATACTGTCACGCTATATTTTGGGGCACAGAGGGATTGGGGGAGGGGTGCGTGGAAATAATGCAGATTGTTTCCTGTTAAGAGTTAATGGCTAACTTGTTTATTTTTATTCATAATGGTGGAATTTAAAAGTTATTATACAGCCCCCACTTAAAAATGGTACTCTTTTTTTTTTGGTTACGAAAGTCTTTCAAAAGAGTCTGAATGAGTTTATGTTTCAGTCTCACATGAGATTCTGTTGCATGCAATGGTTGCCGACAAGGTTTTATGGTAGCCTAAGTGTGTATAGCCGCCCCCTCCCCTCAGAACAAATAGCCCCTTTGCAGCCCAGTTAAAAATCGCCTTTCTGCGATTCTTGTTTTGTCAAGATTTTGATGGGGCATTTTTATATTTTTTTCCGTCGGTTTGGATGTAAATTTACAAAAGCGTGATCGGTCTTGAAAGCAGCGGGTCGAGAAAAACTGGACTGGCTCGACAGTGCATGCTCGGAATAATAAATGCACCGCCAAATTCAAAGAGTTGAATTAATTTGCCGCGTTTTAATATGTAATTTGTTGGGATTTGTGCAGATTTCGGTGGGACAAAATGACTTCGAAGGTTCATCTTGCTCTCTTTCTTCTCTTCGCTTGTACCATGACGGTTTCTGCAGTTGAAGATAATTTTCAAGGCGAAAATGGTGAGAAATTCAGCCAGCAGAACGGTCCTTCGTACACTTACGAGATTAAAAAGTAAGTAATTTGAAGTGATGATGAATATTCTAATAGGAGCTTAATTATATTTTCGAACAGTTCGATTTCTAAATTTTCGGATATTGAATAATTCCTCATTTCTTCTATTTATTCCCGCAGCTTTTTAATTTATACCATTTCAAAGTCTCCACATTTAATTCTAGCTATGCATACCTCGGGGTCATCTTTGCTGCCGGACCACAACTTTCTCTTGATGCAACGATACAATCGCCCGTGAAAAACGTTGCCTCTATCCTCCAGCGGACATTCCGCGGGGAAAACAATTTTTCCAAGCGAACGAAGGGAAAGTAATTCCTTTCATTATCGTAACCACACCACTCATCGTATTCGTGGTTACCGGTCGTTTCGATACAAAGTCGTTGCGATACAAGTAGTTTCGGTACAAATTGAAGTCGATTCGATACATACCTTAAGTTGGTTCGATCCACTCGAGGTCGTTTCGATTCAATCAGAACAACTTGCCAACTTTTGAAGATTTAGTCACATTAACAGTTCGTAGTGAATGAACGTTTATTTGACCACGCATGACGATGGAACACACGCTGACGTTAGTGAAATGAGTTAAGGCGTTAAGCAAACAGGACTTCAGCCAAACGATGAAGCGACCGTAAATGTCGTAATTAGCATTTTAAATCATATTTCATATTCTTCAAGACAAAAAATAAACGAACTGTTAATGGTAGTGACTAAATCTTCAAAAGTTGGCAAGTTGTTCTGATTGAATCGAAACGACCTCGAGTGGATCGAACCAACTTAAGGTATGTATCGAATCGACTTCAATTTGTACCGAAACTACTTGTATCGAAACGACTTTGTATCGAAACGACCGGTAACCGTATTCGTGACTGAATCCCACGAACTGAATTTTTAGCAGTTTTCGCGTCGTATCCACCTCACTAACCTCAACATCATACAAATCCCTGTCAGTTTTGCGTTTTTCGTTCCACTTTCTCCATCTTTTTGTCGCGGAGCTGACGGAATTCTTCCACAAAACGCCGTGGAGGACATGAAATTCGCTTCCGTCGATCGCCCATATGGTGAAACACAATACCTCTGCGCACGCGCTGTAGCATACCCTCCGTGTAATGATCACTGAAGAGCAAATGTCCTCATTTGTGGCTATAAAAGCGTTCAAAAAGGGGGTACTTTACCATGGGGAAAATTGTAATAGATGGCCAAAAAATGACCCTCCAATACTCGAGCCCGCGTTTTTATTGGTCAATAAGTGACCTTACATGACGTACTTGCTCGGTTGTTTGCCGATCGCTTGGTCGATCGCTTGTCAGTTGTCAACCGTCGCGTTGTAGGTGCTGTTGTACCATGCTAAAACGTTCTCCCGCAAAGAGAGATTTTAGAGATAACGGGGAGAGAAAAATAAAAAAGAGCAAAGAAGGTGCTTCGTCATCAACCAGCAAAGTAGATGAAGATTTGGTAAGATCTTTCTGTTTGTTTTCTGTTATGGCACCCCTTTTCACCTTTTCACGTATTAATTGGTAGGCTCATATGATTTCTAGTTCAACTTTTTAATACTTCCTCAGATTTTCTGGAATGAAAAAAGCGTTTAATTCACGAGGAAGCTAACATATTTATTATGCTACTTGAGTTGATCATCGTTAAAAAGGGAACATGTTCTTTTTTCCATGATCGAGGGCAAGCTACCACGACATATGACATGAAGAGCTTTGTTTTGGTACTAGCATGATTTGTAGTGATATTTGGCATAAATACCAGGAGTGACATTTCGAAATTGTTATACGTAATTTCAAATTTGAGACAATTTTGAAATATCACGGGTGGTATTTGTTTATACCACTACCTGCAAAAGGTTTGTAATTTTCACATGAAAGTATTTCAAATTAAGCTGAAATACCACTGCTCGAAGCCAATCAAATTGCAGTAATTTTTCATGTAGTAGTGTAAGGCGTCTAATCTGTCGATTTCCAGGGTTTGCCTTGGTGTAAGAACCTGTGAACTTTTTCTTTGTTTCGCACCTTTTGTTTTTCTATGTTCTATTGTGTTGACTTCTTTGTTTTCTCCGTTTTACGTCACTGGTGAGTTTGACAGGTTCTTACACCGAGGATGAGCCGATTTCTGTTTATGGAAATCAAAAAGCAACCTTTAACTGTAGACCATAACAAATAAATATATGGCAGCACTCCTTCATACTTTATCTATGAATAGTGGGCACTACAGCTGCCCCTGCTCTGTATGTATCGTGGTCGGTCAATAGTCTTCTTGTTTGTGTAGCTCTTTAAAAAACATAGATTCGTAATGGATATTTTCACACATATTGCATACATAGATAAGAACACAAAACAAAAAGTTTCATGCAGTGATTCAGTTCGATTTTAAAGCAGCTCAGATCAAACCATTCTCAGCTTCGAGAATGTTTTATTCTAAAATATAGGCAAAGATTTGATTAGAAGTTGTAATTCTTCACTATTTCTCTTTTACTTTTAATTTAAAATGTTTGATCACGTTGCTCTTGGGTGTTCTAGTCATTTAACTTTTAAGACAATACGTTAATGAGAATTTGATGAAGAGAATCGTTTCATTATGATGGAAAGATATCTGTTGAAGAGCAGTATTCACCATTTTGCATTCCGCAAGAGTTACTGAAAGCAAAGTTTATGCAACAATATTGGGAGGGGGCAGAGAGACAAGGTGTATTAGGGAATGCAAAAATAACAAATACTTGTGGTTATATAAATGTCACTTAAGATCTGAACAAGTTGAGTAATTCATAAGTTTTTTGGCAAGTCTTTCTTACATGTAGCTGAAACATACATTTATATACAAATATGGAAACCTTGGAAGTTTAGCTGTGTGGATTTGACCTTAAAGTGAAAATCAAAGTTCTATTGTAAGATGATACAAAATATTTTATTTCCTCGAATAAAAGCCATCCCTCTATTAACCACCTCCCTCAAATAAGAAATCTTTTCTAGTAATAGTTGACAATACAGCTCCACCCCCTCTGTATATTGTCGGTCAATAGTATTCTTGGTCATTGTGTAGCTCTTTGAAATATACCAATTCATGATCAAAGATTTTCACACATATTCTATACAGAAAGTGAGAGTTAAAACAGGAAACGAAAGGTTCCATGCACTGTTTCAGTTCGATTTACACAGCTATGATCTGAAAGCATTCTCTGTTTTGAGAATAGTTTATTTTAAACCATTACAAAAGATTTAATTATTAGAAGTTAAAGCTTTACAAACAGTTCATTTTATTTGCCTGAAATTAAGCCTTAGAAATTAAAAGGTTTGATCACAGATGTCCTTCAGGGGATAAAGTATTAGAAATGGCTAGAACATGCCAAAGAGATAGAGAAAGAGATCAAAGATCTGTGAACTTGTGTCTGGCAAACTATCCAAGTGTTTATATACACAGTCATACACACCTTATAACCTCACCTCCGCTTAATGATGTAACATTTCCCAAGCATTCGTTATATAGAGGTGTTCAATATAGCGAACCCTCCCCTTAACTAACGCATTTCCCCAGTCCCTTTGCATGTTAAATCGAGGTTCCACAATGTACTTAAATACTTCGATCACTAAAACTCTTTTTAAACTATATCATACAGCAGAGAACATGATAACGGATTTGTTGTTGTTCTTGTTGCAGGAAGACGAAAAGCGATTAATGAAAGAAGATCATTAAGAAAGATAAATATCAATCGTTTTTTTGAAAAAAATGGTGTATTCATTTCTATTAAAAAAAAACTTTTGAACGTCGTTTCTCCTTAGACAACAACTACTCGCACGTCCAAGCTCCTTACAGAGGCGTCTTCTCTATTTTCTAAACAACCATTTTTCGACTAGTTTCTATTTTTTAAGAGCAGGGGATTTTTAGATAAAACTTCATTGACAATCATTATCATTAACCTCTCTCATAATATTGGGAAAGGATTTTCGTTGTGCGTGGTTTGTAGAATCTCGTTTTTGACTCTCTTTTACTATTCATTGTAATTATTATTCTTTAAAAGTTCATATTTCAGTTTATTTGTTGCTTTACCTTGTACTCAAAACCGTGACGTAAAAAGGTTCACACTCTCTCCAACATCAATAGCACAGCATAAAAGGAAATTTAAGTCTTCGTTAAGTTTTACGACAAGTGATACTGTATACCACAGGACCCAACCCAGAGAGTACAGTTGGGGGATCGAGGGGAGGGGCCTGGGCCATTATTTTTAGACCAGAATGAGGCTCGAAGAGCAGAAAATGTTATTTTAAACTGGGTCCGCCACTGCAGTAACATCGAAAAGAATGTGGCAGTTTGAAAGTATCAGAAAAGTTCACGAATTTTATAGACGGTGTTCTCTTGAAAGGAAATTTCCTTCTTCGCAATGACCGAGTATTTTAAAGTCGATGATTACGAAAACTAACGTTTTGGAAACCCATAACCACTGGATTGTAGCTTCCAGTAAGATTTAACTAAAAAGACTAACGATTGCATGGATAAGAAAAGATTAAAAAAACCTTCATGACAACAAAATGGGTCGCTTCGGACGATCAGCCGAAGATGATAACAAGAAAAAAAAAACAGTCACTTGAATGCTGTTTTTCTAGTCAAACTGTTTCAACCAGTCAAATGTCTGAGCTCCTTACAAAGACATTTCTCCATTTTTAAAAAAACCGAATTTCGAGTAGCTTTTCTCTTTTTTTACGTTTAATGAATTGTTAGCAAATCTTTGAATCAAAATAACCCATTCAAATTTGTTACTAGTAACGGGAAAGGCTTTTCCATGGACATGGTTAGTAGAACATCGTTTATGATCCTCGTTTACCATTCGTTGAATTATTCTGTGTAAGGCAATCCATGTTTCAGTTTATTTGTTGTTACAAGGTCAACTATTCTTGAACTTGCTTTAGTGCGTGTAATTTTTTAGCCGTATATAACGATGACGTGGGAGTGTCGACATTCTTTCCAGAATAAGAAACTACAAAAAGACATCTACCGATGAAAAGCAAAACGGACGATTTCGATGCCTAATCACCACCGGTGTTTTTCTCTCTCTGTGCTTGAAATGAATTTAAATAAAACCTTCATACACCAAGAAAGATGACTTCAGAAAAGAAAAAGGCCCGAAGATGATTATTGGCGATAGAAAACAATAGTCTCTTGACCGTTATGCTCCTTCTGACAACAACGAGTCAAACGTTTGAGCTCCTTTTTAAGGTATCTTCTAGATTTTGCTAAAAACCATATTTCGACCAGAAAGGACCTTATTCACATTCAAATGTAGCAAATTCTTAGGCTAAACCGTGAAAGACCAACTTTCTACACTCCTTTTTAATTAATGGAAAGGCTTTTCGTTGCGCGTGGTAAGTAGAGTCTCCTTTTTGACCCTCCTTTACCATTCATCATATTATTCTTAAGCTTTTACCATTCATTGTTT